ACCCCTAATAGGCACCATGAAGGAAGAGATGTGGGAGCACTCAGCTTCACTGACAAAGATGTTAGTTGTCTGGGAGGGCCAGTAACACATTGGTGGAAAATGAGGGAATTAGACAACTTTTTACGTGCCCGAGGGGTCCCCGGTGATGCTATTTCATTAATGGAGGAACAGAAGGTGATTAAAACAAGGGTTATCACTAAAATAGACATGGTTATGGCTTGATGCTAACATGTTTGCTGTCTGTCAGAATTCTGAGATTAAAGTCAGAATTTTGAGAAAAAATGTTTTTTTTTTCCATATTAAACAGAAACAATATTTAAAAATCAGTTAACTTTGTTTTTTGTTTTTTTTTGTTCTTTTTCAGTGGCCCTAATCCTCTTTTGTACATTTAGTGTGGATTTTATGTTTGAGAAAAGTATTCTTAAAGTATTTTGGAATCTGTTTAGACCAATGCACAATACAAAATCAAAGCAGTAAATAAAACAATGTTTTTGTAAAATTTTACTATAGGGACTGATTTTGCCTTATCAAAAAACAAAAATCATTTAAGTAAGTTATTCTCAAAAGAGAATAATTCCAAAGAGAACAATTAATGGCGTATTGCAGGGGGCTTTGCCTGGCTTAGCTGTGTTTTGCTTACACAAATTATCCAATGGCTAGCAGACATGAAGGACTTTTTGAACAGCAATTAAATGTAAAGGACAGATCAGGAATCTATGGAAAAGAATTAGGGCCACTGAAAAAATAAAAAAGTTAACTGATTTTTAAATTTTATTTCAGTTTAATAAGGGAAAGTCAGAATTCTGACTTTTTTTCTCTGAATTCTGACTTTAATCTCAAAATTATGACTTTTTTCTCAGTATTTTGACTTTAATCTCAGAATTCTGACTTTGATCTCAGAATTCTGACTTTTCTCAGAATTTTGACTTTTTTCTCAGAATTCTGACTGTTTTCCGATATTAAACAGTTAACTTTTTTTTATTTTTTCAGTGGCCCTAGTCCTCTTCCGTAGGAATCACATATATGTTGTTGTCATATTAGTGTGTAATCCCTTATTGAAGTAAGGTTTTTTTTATAACTATCAATACATTTTCAACACATGTTAGCATCTGGTTAGCTAGCATGCAATCATCATGGACTCGCTATTAGCTTTGGATTTTAAAACACAGTAAAACATATCAAAAATCATAAAATTATTAGAAACCCCGAACTGTTTAGTTGTAAATACTTTTTCTATCACCACCAGATCTGGTGCCTCTGTTAATCTTAATTCAGAGAAAGCTGAGAGGCATTCATAGGTCAGGAAACTTAGGGCTGCCAGTAAGTTGAGAGCCCAGCCAGAATGGCTTGCCATGTTCTCCTGGGGAACACCCACCATCTTTTTCTCAAACTTGTTAAAGCAGAAGCGTAGCCAGAAAATTTTTATAAGGGTGGCCAGGCAATGACCAATGTATATTAAGGGATGGCCAAAAGTGGCTAGGCACCAGAACCTAAGGGTCAATCTACACTGTTCCAACAGGAAGAAGCACAACGTCCATATTTCTAAATAAAGACAAACTATAGTTTCCTACAGCCTTGCTAAAAAATAGATTCATATATTTAAACAACCATCTAGATAAAACGTATATTGGGTCAAATTCTTTGAGGTTTGAGTTCTGGAGCGAACATCTTTTCCATTGTCATTACAAACCTACTTTTATCAATATCATTCTACATTAAATTGATATTTACATGTAATAATATCTACATAAAATGATAACTAAATAGGTTTTTATTAAAATAGTGATTTACAGTATCTATTATTTCACTGAAGACTCTTAGATGACTTGCAGAGAAACAAAATTTTCTCTTTATGGCATATAACACAAAGTCTAGTTCTGAAAGTGCATGAATTCTGTATAATCATCTCTAATGTTGGTATATTGATGTGCATAATTAACCACAGTGTTTTTGTTGTCAAGTAATTGTTAATATATGTAAAATTAAAATGTTTGAATATTCTACTTGAGAGTGAAAAGGGGTATGGGTGGCCACAGGGGTGGCCAATGATTGGCTAAAGGTGGGCTTGGCCACCCCTGGCCCCCCATCTAGCTCCGCCCCTGTGTAGAAGGAGACACTTCCATTCAGTCTCTGCTGGATCTCTGCTTCCAAGCCTCTCCTGCAAAACTCAGAAAGAAAAGTGATCTATGGGAAAGACAACGAGTTGTGGGCGAACAGTGGGTTTATACCAAACTCCACATGGGGTCTTAGATGTTCCATGAAGCTCCTCCTTTGCCTCACAGTTCAACGTCATCAGTCTTGCATTCTGGTCCAACCAGTGTTCAATATTCATCAATGTTTGTTTTCATCTTATTGCTGTACAACACAAAATCCCGATATACATTTAAAGGGGATATACATCTAAGGGACTGGCGGCCTAGTGGTTAGGGCATAGGGCTTGGAACTACGGCTCTCTGAGAAAGACCCCTTACCCCCGTTTTTCCGGGCACTGCTCCCCAAAGGGGATGGGTTAAATGCAAAGAGTTAATTTCTCTATTGTGATAAATAAATAAAGTTACATAAGACAGAGGTTTGTGTTAAATAAAGTGAAAGACATAATGGTCATTGATCTGGATGGGTTTCAGGGACATCTCAAAACTGTTGAGAGTAGGGATGCAATGATGTGAAAATCTCTGCCGAGATCAATATTGCTGTTATGGTTGATAACCGATATTTATCGATTTACTGAAATATGTATTTATCTACCCTTTGGACGCCAGCACAGAAAACAGTGCTGATAGAAGAACAATCCACAATCTTTAGCTGGATCACAATCACTTACACATGATCCAAAAAAATACCACATTAATGAGATCATCCCCTCTCCATCCTGAAACAAAAACAACTACATGAAGAGAAATCCTGGTTCTTAATATTGCAGACATTAATATCGATATTGGCCAATATCGATATTAATGTGAAGACATCATGCATCCCTATTTCAGAGTACATTTGAAAGCTTATTTTTAACACATTAAAAGACCCTTATCTTGAAACCTTGGTCAGATGAAATAAATTATTGACTCTACTGATTTTCCTTTTTTTATGTTGTGTAACAAGAGAAAAGTTGAAGGACAAAAACCAATGTGCTACAATCTAAGTGGTTTACAAAAAATACTTAAAGGTTTGGGGTTTGCTTAGAATCAGTGTAATGAAATTATCTTTGTATACATACAGGAGGTGACTGCAGATAGAGTGGCTCAGTATCAGCACCTGACCAACATGGAGCTCATCTCTCTGCTGCTGCAACAGGAGATGGACATGGAGAAGCAGCAGGCAGCCTCTGAGCAGCAGGGGGCGCAGCTAGAGAAATGCGAAGCCGAGTTGAAAAAAATCAAGGCGCAGGTTAGAGACCTGGAGGACTACATCGATAACCTGTTACTGCGGATCATGGAGCAGACGCCCACATTACTCCAAGTACGCTCAAGGCACAAGCAATGAGTCTGCGTATGAGTTTAACATCGAGAAAATATGCAAAGAATATTTACAACTGTTAATACAAGCATAAGGTATTATTCTGGAGCTGAAGTTTAATAAATGTTCCATGGGTTTGTCTTCTTACATCCAGGTCTTCTTACTACTGCTACTACTACTGCCTTGGTGATGGAGATGTAATATTACCTAACATGCATGCTTAATATTGTCCAAATTTGGCACAAACAGAAACCGAAAACCTGCTAGTAGCTAAAGCTTTCATAAAGCAGTCACAAATTAATATTTACAGCTCCTTGCATTAGAATAACTTACATTAGTCTACCTTTGAAATGCAGCTTTTGCATGCGCTTAAAATACATGCAAACTAAGAAATCTATTTTAAATGCCTTCTTGTAAAAATTAAAATACAACCAAATTGTCTTTGAAGTACAACAAACATTTTTGGGCCAAAAAACATGAGATATTTATAATATTTTGAATATTTTATGCCAAGGGTTAACTTAAGGGTTAACTTTAGTTAAGTAAATCTTGTGGAAATAGTTTTAAAACCAAAAAAAACAAACTGAAAAGCTGCTTCACAAACCCACATGTCAATAAAACATTTAGTACTTCTAAAGACTGAGGATGACAAAGCCTTATTTTTTTGTGTGTTATACATTTTTTATTTGTTAGTTTTACCAAAACCTTTTTTTTTTTCAAATTTGAACTGAAGCAATGATATTATTTTATTTAAATTTTTTGCCCTATCATGCACATGTACAGAAACAAATATTTTGCTGTAGAGAACTACTGTATATGACTATCAATAGAAGTGTTGTGAGTTACCATGATTTTTTTCATTGTAATATATTCTAATACCACTCTCAAGCACACTGTAGCTAACTGCAACGCTTTATTTGACCGCAAAACTGTACTAAAATAAAGTGCACATGAACAGAAATGTGTATTTTTGTCAACTTTTTTTTGCCAATGGTAAGAGAATCCTTCTATGTTTAATCATGGACATAAATGTAAGATTGATTTTATGTTTTTATGACGCATTTAAGTGCATTTGGACTGGTTACTCAACAGTAAACTTTAGGGATTTTAAAACAAGACTTAGGAGTACACATTTAATTTTAAACTGTAAGTATCATCAGTTCCCTACCTATTATGTCCTTCAGCAGGTAGCAGAGGAACCACATTTTATATTTCTGGCAGAATTGGTAGAGTTTATTACATTGTTTGGTTTCCTGGCATGGCTTTTGCCTTGAAGCATACTTCACAAATTTACAACAGTTAAGAATTCTAGACTATTCCTGAAGTTAATTATTAATCTGTTTTCTATTCTAAAGCCAGTTTTATTCTCTCGTTGGGTTACTGTTATCCTGTGTACAACTTTTTCACCTTCTTGCTGTTTAAGTTTAACTTAATAGCCTTTTCATTAGACGACTTCACTTACTGCCACTGACAGAAAAAAAATCCTTAGCATTATCCTACCACCACCATGCTTGACAGTATCACAGTACTCTGGTGTGGACTGTCCAAAGCAGCTCTTCCAAATATACTTCTTGTTATCAGTTTTTAAGTTCTTTTCCCCCCCAACACTTTTTCTTTCTTGGTCAGTAACCTATAGGTCAAACTTATGGACAGCATCACAGCTGTTCCAGTGATGTTGAATTTATGATATTTTTTAAACATATTTCTAGGTTATTTCTAAATTTTTTAACCCAATTTCGATTTATCTTATTTTGAAGTACATGATCCAAGCACATCCAAGTTTTTTTTCCTGATTTTAACCCTTTTAGAATCTTATAACCTATGATTAAAACCAGTTTCTGTGTGAGAAACCAAAAGAGAATCAGAATCAGATTTATTGCCAAGTAGGTTTAAACTTATAAGGATTTTGGCTTGGTGTTGTAACCACCTGATAAGAATTGGAGAAATATTAAGGCAAAATTATTCCAGATCTGCTCTCAGTTTTAAAAAAGTCTGTCGTTACGTATTTCAAGATGGGGAAAGCCCAATTGTATAAATCTGATTTTAATTCTAGATTAGAGATAATTCACTTTATTTGAAATGTGCGCTCATTTATTTATTCTATTGATATTGCATAATGGTTTGACACAGGGAATCAGAAGAAAGATCATTTAAAGGCTATTATGCAGTAAAAGTACAACAATGCAGATAATGAGTGCACAGAAACCTCCAGATAGCAATGCAGTGAACAGACTTTAGACTGCATGCACTCTATTGACATTATTCCATAAGGGGGCGCCCCTGACTGCAGTTTTAATTTAGCACCTATCGATCAGTATATTAACTTTGCATCCTAATTATGTAAGTTATTAGAAAAAAATGCAACTGCACAGTCTGTATTTTACACTTCCACCGCAGCTTGCAAAATTTAGGAGAAAGTCCCACAGGATTTTAATTCTATTTTATTTTTTTTTTATTAGGAAGCAATGCACATGGACAAGAATAGGCTTTAAATTCTATTTAGTTCCAGTAAGCAGCATGGTTCAGAAGAACAAGGGTTGATTTTCTTTACCTGGTTGTTGCTGGTGAAGACTCTCAGTCATACAGGTCATAGGCATTCCAAAAAAGATAAAAAAAAAAACAATTCACTAGAGTTTGTTTCCAAGTTTGAAGATGTTTCGCTTCCAACCCGGGAAGGTTTATCAATTCAAAACATCAGAACTAGCCTTGAATTCAAGGCTTTATAGAGTGGACCAAAGCAAAGCCTTGTTCTGGCTTAGAAACATCCTCTAAGCCTGGTTGAATTTGAAGTGTAATCTGTAGATGTTTAACATGTAGACCTTCATTTGATTTATTCTTTCCATTGTTGTAGCAGACAGGAAAGGGGCTGGATATAGAGAGTAAAAGTGCAGCAAAGGTCTGCAGGTCAGGACGGCAGCAGGACTCTACATATATATCAGATACTAAAAGCAGACATTTAAATATGCAGAGTGCATTGTAGGTTGGCCTTCTTCCATTTAGATTTTTATAACTGCAAACTGTTACAAAGACATTTCCAACACTGATATCTAAGCCCTATATTTAGGATACTGTGAAGGCTTTTAAATACACTTTTAAATACAAAGTACCTATCACTACACATAAACTATATGCAGTGGATAGTGATGTTGTTTAATAGTCCTGTTACAAGAAGTACTTTCCACCCATCCACATGCACTGGAAAAACGATCTAGAAATAAGTAAAAATTTCTGAAATTAAGTGTATTTACCCTAAATTTGAGTAGGTAACTGAGATAGTTTGCCAATGGAATGAGTATTTTCACTCTAAGAATAAGATAATTAGATAACATGCGCCTGAAATAAGACAATACAATTGTACTTTCTTATTTTAAATGTAAATTGTCTCATTCCACTGGCAAAATGTTTCACTTTCCTCCTCAATTTAAGAAAAGGGGCATTTATTTTAAGAAAAATTGACTGATGTAGATTCAATTTTTTTGCAGTGTGCACACGCACACACATACACGTTTCTAAGTGGGCTGATGGTCTTTCTGTCCAAACCTTGCATTTAAGTGAAATGATCACTCTAAATCTCAGATGTTGTTCCTGTGCTCTGATGGAGACGATCTCTACCACAGCAGCACAACTCAGGCCTAAACTCTCCTCAGCTTCTCTATCTGCTCTTTGAGACCTGGGTGCTTCTCAAGTCTGGTTGCTATAACTTGGCATTGCTTCATCTGTCACTGCTGCAAGTCCTGTGCACTGTCCACCCTCACGATGTCTTCTGTTTTAGCTACCAACTGTTCACTGGTCTAGATCTTAAAATTACACTGGATTTTCAGTCCTTTCTTGCTCCATTGTTCTCTGTTGTGTTCCACATGCGGTACTGTAATTTCTCATGAGCTACTCTCCCTACCTGCTTATGGCGTTCTATTTATGCTTCACTTGACTGCAACTTAAACCCAGCTGTGAATCTCTGCTGTGCCCCCAGGTACACTGATTAAAGCACTCCATGCCCAGTAATTCAGGTCAGGAGGGTGGCCAGGTCTTGTTAGATCTGCAGTTGGACTAAACTCCAGATGTTGGGAGGTTGCGATGTTGTTTAATAACCAGAACCTGCTTTAAACAAATGAGGGGAAGATGGAGCAGGAGATTGAAAGGTGAAAGGCAAAGCTCTCTGTTTTCTGGTCGATCTACGTTCCTACCCTCATCTTTGGTCATGACCTTTGGGTCGTGATCGAAAGAACGAGATCCTGGACAAAAGCGGCCAAAATGAGTTTTCTCCTTAGTGTGTCTGGGCTCTCCCTTAGAGATAGGGTGAGGAGCTCAGTCATCAGGGGAGGAGTCAGAGTAGAGCCGATGCTCTTCCATTGATGACTTTGCATCTGGGCTGACTTTAAAGTGGATCAAAGTGTGCAGGTTCCTATCACTGCAGGCCCCTCATTTAGTTGCTTATGGCTAATTATGGCCTCTTTTCCTCAATCCGCAGTTATAGGGCCAAACTGACACCTACTGTACATGAGAGCCAATGGCATAATGACACAACAATTGGCCCGTAAGCAACATTATCTGGGTGGGCCCTATATGAAGTACAACACCCCTCCCTTTTGTTTCTTTAAAAGACCGTATTTTGTAGGAGCCAATAATTTTTTGTTAATGATTAAAAATGCTTTTTGTGCATAATCTAGCTAAGTTTATTTTACTTTATTGTTTAATATCCATTATGAGATTATGTTTTTTGTTTATGTAGTCATGTTCCTTTATTTTTTGGTTAGTTATGATCAATTTAGGTGAATTATTTTTGATGCATCTGGGTGGGCGTATGTTTTTTTTTTTTTTTTTACCAGCACAAGAGAAACAAACATGAAGGAAGTGTTTGTCTTTTTTTGTTTGCTTGCCTGAGGAAAAAATAAACTGACAAAGCTAAAGGAGTTTACCAGGAACATTTTTTTCTTTTTGCCTCCTTAAAATAAGTCCATGGTGCATCTGTGGCCTTTGTGGACTTCCGCTTTTTTGTGTCATCAAAGCTGGGCCACAACATATTTATTTTGGGAAGTTTTTTTTCCATTCTTCCAGCAGCTCTTTTTTCCTTTTTCCTTTCTGGAATATGCTTAAGTACCTCTTTTTTGGTATCCATCTTGATTAAAAGTACCACTATCTTCTTTAGTAGTAGCGGCCTAGCGGTTAGGGCATAAGGCTTTGAATCCTGAGGTTGAGACATCGATCCCCCACTCCCACTCTGGCCACCTGAGCAAGACCCTTGACCCCACACTGCTCCCTGGGTGCCGCACAATGACAGCCCACTGCTCCTCCAGGGGATGGGTGCAGAGAAGTAATTTCCCTCTGGGATTTTTATGTTAGAGTATATAAAATCCCCCTGGGATTATTAGAGTATATAAACTCAAAAAACAAACAAACAAACAAACAAAAAAAACCCATCATGTTGGAATCTAGCATGTGTTGGGGTATAAATATGGTTCGGTCAGTGAATTTTGTACGAAGTGGGTATGTGAGGATTTTTTTGTGCACAATTAAAGGGGGCCTTCCAGGTGTCAGTGACGGGGCCCCTAAGCAACGGCAGTCTCTGCTTACCGATAGTTAAGCCATTGATGGGAGCTTTAGTCTATCTCTACCAAGATCAATCCGAACAGTTATGTAATGACTTCCAGCTTATCGATCATTTGGGATGTGTAGTCATGCACGTCAACTTTACCAGTGTTAAGGCTAAGACAAAAAACTACAACTTCCGGCATGCTTAGAGGCGCATCGCTCCGCTCGAGTTACTCTCACACGGACCGTAGTTCGCTCTACTGAAGAAATCCGTCTTAATGATCCGGTTGGTGAATAAGTGAAAAGAGTTTGGTGTCATGGCGGAATCTGCAGCTTGTTCTGCTTTCCAGCTCGGCAGACCCCGATACGATCAGGTAGGTTAAACCATCCGCTTTGATTGCATTTAGGTTTTCCAAGGCTGTCTGCTGGAGAAAACATCCTGTTCCTCCTCCGCCCTCATCGCCCCGTTCTGGATGTGGATGCAGATACTCTGTTAAAGTTGCCTTCGACATGCATCGCTGATTTTATCTCTGCAAAACAAAAAAACAACAAAAACTTCTGAATACGATCCAACAAGAGTTTGATGCACTAAAGTAGATTTTTTTTTACTTTACTTAATAGCCTGCAGCGTTTTCTTTTATCCTGACACATCAAATGTCGCGTGTTTATTTATTTGTTTTTTCTATTTTTTTCTATTTTATTTTAAGTAAAAAAATGTCGTGCGTTTATGTTTATGTTTTATTTAGTAAGGAACAAATTAATGGCTTTCCCAAAATTGTATGGCAAACACTTTGACATTTAATCCACTCCTAATTAATACTGAAGTTTCTTTATCCGCGCACAGATTTTCCTGCAAACAAAGAGTCTTTTGCATAAAATCACCTCATCTGCTCTTAATTTCCCATTAATAAATTACTTCACGTTTTTCCTCTCTGATAGATAATGCGACCTTCACGCCAACTCAGTTTGCTCATTAACCAAAGATGTGTCAGAGCAATCCTTATACAGCAACTTGAGGAAAATAATTTACCAGACGGTAATGCATTATGCAAATTGAGTAAACAGGTATCAGAGACTGTATTTTGGTATAGAGCTATTATTTTAACAGCTGCCAGGGTATTTTTGTTAAAGCTGTGCCTGATGATTATAAGTTATGTATTGGTGTAAATACAATCCTACTTATTAAACTCTAATGAGCATAAAATACTAAGAATCTTAGAGAACACACTTGGTCACAATGGACTGATGAGAAATATAGCCTGTTTTATTATAAGTCTACAGTTTTACTGGTAAAGGGGATGTTTCTCATTATTCATTCCTGCAATTTTTGGTTTTTTGGAGATATGAAACATAAAATTACAATATCGATATTTAATGCACCTGCTAAGGCCTGTTGAGATGGGATATTTGCTTGTCTATTATATTTGAAGTTCCAGACTTTTTACACTAACTTTCCCCCTATCCAGGTTTTGCTCCCTGTGTTGCTCTGTTTAGAGATTATTTCAGTGCAAAGACATGTATGTGTGTAATTTTGTCATCACACTAGCTGGTGTTTCTTTTAAATTATATTAGACACACAATTAGTTAGTATTGTGAAGGATTTTCGCAAATCCCGCCCTCTCCACTTTAAAGAAATCCATGTGCAAGAGCCATTTCTCTTCATTTATGCTCTGTTTAAAAGTTCTTATAGCTCATACAAGCTTACTATGCCCGAATGTCCACCCTAACCCCTAAATCCCCCAATCACTTTATAGAGCAAGGACTATATAGTGGACTTTATAGCGAACTCAGTTAACTTACCGTTCAGATTGATGATCACTGTTTTTGCTACCTGTTGGTCACGTAGCTCCTTTGCTGCGCGGTGCCTCCACTGACAGGGGGCCACTATGAAAGCCAATCCCATAATGCTTTGCAAGGAGAGCTCTCCACAGAGAGCTCACAGCACATATACACCTAAAAGTGCGCATGCACAGAAAAAGATAGCTAACGTGACGAGCACGTAGGACGGCCTTATGTAAACATCACCAGAATGATTGACAACTAGGAGGACCACTTATTTTGATGATCCATTCGAAAAATAAAAGATCGTCCCTGTACCTTTAATTTCACAAGAAATTTTCCATCCAAAATGTTGCAGGTTCTTTTTGCAAAGATGCATTAATGAATCAACATGAAATGTCTGTGTAGACCTTTAGGTCCCCTATGCTCTTATATTTGCATGGAATTATTACTTTGCATTTCTTCTTCATTATCTAATCACTGCTAACGCCTAAGAAAGTGTTGCTGTGCTATTTTGTAAAACTCCTCATTTCTAAAATTCTAAAAGTTGACTAAAAATATATGATTATATTAAACATTTGAGTCAACAATACACTTTAACAAAAGATATTCATGTTTGTTTAAATGAATGAAGAAAACTGTCAGTAAATTATCACAACATTCAGGTTTTTGCTGTGAAGTTGGTGTTCCTCAAGGGTTATTTCTGTGAAATTTCTTTTTAAATGTAATATTTACAATATGGCATTTAGAGTAAATGCTTGGAGGCAATGCTTGATAATATTGCAGGTCCTCTGATAGCCTCCAATATATATGATTAGTGCATGGGGCCTCCCTCTTTGCTGCATACACATTTTAATCAAAGCAATAATAAAGTCTGAAGAGTGCATCGGTGAACACTGTGATGGAAGGGAAGAGTAATAGGAAAAAATTATGTTAACCCCACACTGTAAGAAATGTCCATAAATTCACGGCACAAGTTACTGTATTTATATGAAGGAATTTTCCGTAATTTGTTTTTATGGATATTTCAACCTGTTTATCAGAGCTGTTTAGGTAGGGGAGTTCTGACAACTCCACTGACGACAATCGGCAACATTTTAAAGTAATTTACATTAGATACATATTTACAGAAAAAAATTCTTCAAAAGAAAAAAAACCCTGATGTTTTTTTTGTTTTGTTTTTTTTTTACAAAGATTATCCCTAAAAAAAACAAATAAACAGAAAAGGTCCTGCTAATTTGCTGCCAGGACCTTTTCTATTTTATTTTATTTATTTATTTATTTTTTTTTTTACAGATTTTGTTTTTTACAGTGTATTCTATACTGTTATCACAATATTCAGCAAAAATATTGCAGTTGCATGAGTTTTTAAAATTTATGTATGTTCTATTTCTATGCAGATGATAGATTAGTTATGATTTATTTAGACAAGATTCTTGAATGTTAGAATATGCTCAATGTTAACTTAAGCTTTGATTTTAATGACCTTCTAAGAGATTATTTGACAAAAGTTAGGTTTTTATTTTGATTCAATAAAGCTTTATTTATTATGCAATCTGATTAACAGAAAAGTAATTGTAGTTATTGGACCACTCTGGGATGTTACTGAAAAATGTAAACTTTATTTTACCTTACTTCAAAACCTTAATATTTAGCACTGACATTTTAAGAAACTGTTCTTCAGTGAGACTAAGAGTGGGAAAATATGTTCAAAACAACTAAGATACGTTACAGCTTCACATCAAACTATCTGAGCAGATTGAGAAATAACAAATGACCACATATCATCTCTAACTTTATAAAGTTATGGAAAATTTGGTACTCAATGCATACTGACCACTGAGGGTTACGAGATCCATCAGGTTTCCCACAATAAGTTCAATAACTTCAACTGAAAGGAAAACTCTCAGAATAAGTAATAATATATTAAAAAAACAAGCTTGAAATGGACAGGCTCTACCGAATCCCTTCAGGGGTTAATAAAATATAATCAAATTTAAATTGAATAGAAATAATGACTTGAGTTCTCTTAGACACAAATCCAATGCAAAGAAAAATAACATGGCTTGGAAATGAATCAATATGGGAATCAATTGATTCCTGTTTTATCCTGCACGTTTAGATCTTATATGTGATTTTTTTCTCTGCTTTCTTATCTGCGTGTAGAATGACATCATAATGGATTACAGATTGATCATAGGTATAGTTTTTCTTAAATTTCCGCCCCCTTTTTTTTTTTGCACCAAAGTGCATTTCATTGTTCAGACCCAGCTGATGGAGAGGAAGATAAAATGGTTTGAAACACCTTTACAGAGCTGCTGTAATACATCTTAGGTGTTTCATCAAAGCAGAGGAAATTAGGCCAGCTCTTGATTCAGCACAAGTCTGGCTTGTTTCTTTGTCTGTGCTTCATGCCGGATTCCATCTTTGCTAACCTAGTTGTGTTCTCTCAGGGGAGCCGGAGCTCATGCATAATTAAAGCCGGCTCCTCACATGGATCCGCACTGTCTCCACCTCTCTTACAAAACAGCACTGCAGCACATATGGCCTGTCAGAATAGGAGATGTGCAGTGACAGAAAGGCAGAGATAGAAAACCCAGAGCAGGGAATAACAGTCTGTCTGCAGTCTTGGTGAGGTCTGACAGAATATCCCAGTCTTTGCAATTAAAATCTGCTTCTAAGGAGATCATTAAAAGAAAAAAAATCTAAACATCCTACTTTTGCTAAGTCGTCTACTCTTGGAAAACGAATTTCTGACTGGAATCTGGTTGTTTTTTACGAGGTTGCCAAAGAGACTCTTGGCAGAAATGGTTTGTGGGTCTTTTCAAAGAGCTGGCACACAGACTCAGCAATTGGCCTGCTGATAGAGACGGAGAGAAAAACAGAATGCCTGACCAGCAGCTTAGAGCCATACACTGATCACTGTTGATGTGTTTTGCTTCTTCTTTCACTAAAGTTTCATCCTGATCATTATTAGAATGAGTTAAAGTATTTAACCACTGAGCATCAACTGTATCTTAATTATAGTGTCTGTGTTCCTGTGTCTTTAAAAGCAAACAGCGTTGTTTTTGTTAGAAAGTTAGTTAGGTTTCTATCCTGCATTGAAACCGAAAATACATAAACAGATTTAGATTTTTACTAAAATAATTATTTTTAATTTTTTGTTATTATTTTTTGCTTTTTTATTTTTCCAAAGGTTACAGCTTACAGTATGTTTGCATGTTAACTGTTGTTAACCTTTCAAATATTCTCTCAAAGTGCTTTGCTTGCTAAGTTTCTTGGCAAGATGACTTTTAGCAAATAGGTTGTGCCCTCAGCTTCTCATTGAGCCAACTGTAATTTCACCACTGTATGATGTTTCCTGCAGGATATTGCTGAAGCATCTTTAGTATTGAGCCATTGTTTCTGTTTTAGAGTATTTCCAATCATGAAACCTTCTTAACAAAAACAGCAGAAAAAAAAAAACTATTTAATGAAGTGTTTTCTTTTAAATAAGGTGAAACTGAGCTGTGACTTGTTGTTTCCTCAGACTTCATTCCTTGGACGTCTGAGACACTTTGTTGACATCATTGACCCTAGCACCCTGTTTGTTTCAGAGGTAAAGCTTGCTGTTGAAGGACTCCTTTTTGCACATATTTGCATATTCTGCATGTCTTTTTGTGTAAAATGTAATTGTCATTACACTGTCACAAGTGCGAAGCAACGAAAATCAGTCTCTGCATTTAACCCATCCCTTTTGGGAGCAGAGGGCTGCCATTGTGTGGCACCCGGGGAGAGGTGCGGGGTTTAAGGTTCTTGTTTAGATATCCAGAGTGGCCTCTGACCCCTGGGATCCAAGCTCAATGCACTAACCACTAGGCCGCCACTCCCTATATGCATATGTTATTCTCTATTTTTAAAACCCAAATTTTTACCGATTTAAATGAGACATTTGCTCAAATATCCTATTAATATTTAATATAATATAAGCCATTTTTTGATGATTGAATAAAAGCATATTTTCCTCATAATACGGTTAAACAAATCAGCTTGACTAAAACAGAGAATTCTTAGAAATGGTTCAACTCAGTCTGAGAGCTTTTGAGAAATATCAGAATAATAACATGTGCTTATGACTTTTTTTTTTTTAATTTGTCCTTTTTTATTACTTTTAGAAAAAACTAAAAGAGTGCATCAAACTCCTTGATGACTATAAACATGGCACACTTCCTCCTGGAGTGTCTGCAGATCAGGTGAGTCTTTACCACATTTGATGCAAACTGTGATTCAGACTCTGTTCAAAAGCTAGAAAATAATACAAGTAATCATTTTACAAAAGATTTGGGATGGTTCAACTGATTAAGATCAATTATTCAACTGAGCTAAAAAATAGAAATCTATCCGTACATATGAAGTTAAGTCCTCTGTGAAAGACTGAAAGTTTTTTTTTTAAATCATTTTGTTGAAAGAATCAATTGATGTAATGGATTTCATTGTAAGATTTGACAATCAGATTTAGATTCCAGCTCATGAATTTGTTAGATTCTCTGTTTTCTAAATAAAAGTTGAGCAACATTCAAAACAGAAGAGTAAATTATGTTTCTCCTTTAATAACTTGGATCTCCTGTTCAGTTGTGGGAGGCCCAGAAGATTAAACAGGTGAGTCTGTAGGTTTGTCCGCCTTAATCACATTTTCATACATTATAAACCCTGAGCTAGCGGCAGCATGAGAAATCTCTCATGCTTTGTGCTGCAGGCCATCATTCACCCTGACACAGGAGAGAAGATCTTCATGCCATTCCGAATGTCAGGTACGTCCTGAATTGAAGATCTTTGTCAAAGTTTCCTCAAACCAAATCATTGTTTTTCCATCGCTTAAATGCTAAAAATCATGTTTTCACTGTGTAGGTTATGTACCATTTGGAACACCAATTGTAAGTCGAAGCCATGCATTTTGATCTCACATTTTAGAGGAACTTAAGTGATCGTAATTGTTGTCACGTTTGGGAACAGATGAAATGAAACTTTGAACTTATTTTGCTCAAAAATAAGCTCTTATTTCCTGGTTTCATTTAGGTCATTGGCCTTCTCCTCCCAAATCAGACTGTGATGTCTACCATTATATGGCAGGTACTGAAAAATGCCTATATTGTTCTGTGGTGTGTTAAACTATCTGAAATCTTTACAGTCATTTATATATGTGTATAAATATGACTTGTGTCGGGCCGGATTAGCAAAAAGAACGTTGAATGAAACCCAGAATAAAGCTTACACTGCAAAACAATCTAGAAAAAAAAAAAAAAAAAAAAAGATTAAATTAAGTGTATTTCCCCTTAATTTAAGTAGCTAAATAAGAAGATTTGCCAATGGAATAAGTATATTTACTCTTAATATGCTCTTGAAATAAGACAATACAATTGTTTTTTCTTATTTAAAATGTAAATTTTGTTGTTCCGTTGGCAAAGTGTCTCGCTTACCTTCTCAATTCAACACCAAATGCACTTATTTAAGCAAAAAATACTTCTTGAAATTTAACTTTTTTGCAGTGTAGTTAATAACCTTCTGACAAGAATCACCTTGGAAAACCTAATCTGCTTGTTTGAATTAAATATTGTGTGAAATATTTATGCATATTTATACAAAAAATACTGAAAGATTTCCATAGTTTTTTGCACCATCATATCACTGCATTTTTTGCATCCATTTTGATCATCTGATCAACTTTTCCAGTCTGAGCAATCCGCCAATATTTATTTTCTCTTGCATTGATTATAGATATTTGGTGTTTTATACTTTGTGCTTTTTTTCAGTGGTTGAACCAGAGTCATAATGCCTGCGTGAACTATGCAAACCGGAATGCCACTAAGGTAAAAACAACTTTGTAGTTTTTCATCTCAAATTCTATGGCTAAACATATTAAGTCCAAAAGGGTAAACTGCACCTGGTTAAATGGATAAAGCATATACAGGCTTTTATACTGTGCAGTGCACTGCTGCTTCAAGTGACCACCAGCTTTATGCAGTTTGGTCAAATTTCACAAATTTACTTTAACACTATAGAATTAAGTCATTGTGAGTCCCACTAATCGCCTACTGGGAAGAGAGGAAGGCTTTAACTGAAACCGATGCAGTGTTGTCTTTGACAGCCCTTTTAGATTTAGTCTTAGTTTTGATTTTAAGGACGAAAAG